GGGAAATGATGCGTATATGTGCGTAAGGATCAGTGAGGGTAACAGCAACTAGTAGGGAAAGAAAAAAAGAGAAGAAAAACAACTCAAAACAGGAGTTGCGACTTGCATAGGAAGAAAATAACGGAAATAGCAGTACTTTGAGGTCATTGTCTGTCTCAGTTTCGCCATGAAAGAGACAGGCAACTGTTGAGAGCCTAGCATCTTGGTAAGCTGACTGCCGATCGTCGTCAGACGGTTCATCTTTCAGGCATCTCCATTGACGTCATTTCCTCACTGTGGCAGCAGTGCACTCAGGGTCCACCATGGAGGATAGAATGCACGGGTTTTCAGGGTTTTAGAGGGGATGAATCTCTTCATTCCCGCCAGGATCCTCTCTGAGATGCCAGTGCATGACAGGTCTGGATCAATTCGAGCAATAGCTGCCCAATTGGTGGTTCTGAGGAAGTGACGGAGCCTGGCCAAATCAGCATGCTGATACCTCCATACAGTTCTTGATATGGGAAGCTCGCGTGATACACGGATCTGGAAGTCAGCAAGTAGACAGGCGTGGTCAGATTTGGGCGGCAAGACAGAAACCAATGATTCTACGGGTAGGTCGGATATAATCAGGTCCAGTGTGTTGCAGCCGTGCGGTGGTTGGTCCACTAGCTGTTCAACACCGTGCATGTAGCACATGTCCTCTGCATGCTCGACACCTCTAGTTGTTTTGCGACTGTGGAGCCACCCTTGGTTATGTACATTGAAGTCCTAGCAACTATCACAGCACAGTTGCGGCAAAAATGGCACAAAACGGACAAGGAGTACTGAGACATTCGTTGATCTGACTCCTAGCTCCAACACTTCTCCAAGGCGCACAAATCAACAACCTCCCAACTTGGAAGACTCAGGTTCGAAAAGGTCCAAGAGGGGAAGGAAAGCGCAATGAAGAAGAGCACGAGCTCCGCACCACGGCAACAAAAAATGCCAAAAGTTACTGGATGATGACGGAACTAGTAAGACTATTGGACATACCGGCCTTACTACAACTCGACGACGTAACAAACCACCCAACTTGGGCGGCTCAAGTTTATGTAGTAAACAAAGAAAGGGGAAGCTAAGCGAAGACGAATTGTGACAAACCGAAACGTCAACATTCTACTGAACTTCACCACACTGTATCATGTTAATATGATAGACTAGTTATGTGCAACAACAAGTTGTTCCACATGACGTACGTTTTGCCGAATAGGTAATGGCGGCTCATACGGTGTGCAAAGTTGAACTCCGATGGTGAGCCAATTAAATTAAATTATGGTGAAAAAGGAGAAGGACAACATGTTACGAGTTATGACTAACTGTCCACCAACGTAACCAGATATTATACAGTCAACGAGTGCGACAAAAAGGTGGTTGGTGGACAGTTAGTCATAACTCGTAACATTTTGTCCTTCTCCTTTTTCACCATAATTTAATTGGCTCACCATCCGAGTTCATAATTCATTGTATTTGCTCTTGTTTGCTCTTGCTTGTATATCACCTGAGGAGAAGGTACGGAAGTTTAGTCGCGAAATCATTAGTTTTGAGAATGTTGTTGAAGAGCCGGAGGTTTGTCCTATCAACATTTTTCCTTAGCTTCATTAGCCTGGAAAACGATAATGAGTTACTTGTGTCACCTCAAACGTGCTCGTAAGTCCAATGTCTTGAAGAGATCTGGTATATGTTTCCAAGTTGGCTATTTGAGGATCACAGTATCTCGACTTCCTCCGGAATCCATCTCGAGTGCTGGACTCCAGGTGCCATTGTGTGATCTACAAGCGCTTTGTCCGCCCGGGCACAAACCACTCCGGCTCGCCTCATCGGACAGGATGGCCATCGCCTAATCGGTGAGGGACCCTACCTTTGCCTCCTGTACAATATGCATTGTCCAGATGCACATCGCCTTCTACAGATGATGTTGCCACCCCACAGCCCCAATCCCAAAAAGACCACTCCACCCGTAGTACGTTTCGAAGATGTAACACCCACGCACACCAACTGGCAAATGAACTTCCAGTCCCTTCCCGAAACAACCTGTGTCGAGCCTACCCTCGCGCAATTTTCCCCGTCTGAAACCAGCTGCTCGCCGGAGTCTTCTCTGGTCCATTTTGCATCAATAACTTACAACGTTTCATGGTTGCAGCCACCCCTGTTTGAAGACCAACGACTGATTGTGGGCACATGATCATCTCTGAGTATCAGCATCATATCTGCCTCACCCCATGATTTTCAAATCCTGCTCCAAGTACTCCTCCCAATAACGTGTTTACTTCTTTTCTCTCCTTCTCCTCCTAACACTCTCTGTCTTATCTTTCCCCTCCTTCTAATGTACTGTCTCTCCTTATAATATTTAGTATCATGTACTTCATCCCCGTCATCGAAATTGTCGCAGTTTGACTTTTGATCGCTGGCGACTTCAGCGTTTCTGCGCACAGCTTTACCCCAAAGTTCTCTACTGTGAATCTGTCCTGGACCAACTGGTGCAGAGTGTCATGGTCGGACTTCTCCCACATAGTACGCGTGATGTGTGGGTCCACTCGGTTGCGAAGCTGTCCGCAGAGGCTGCCATGGATGACCCAGCCAAGTTTGGTCCGGGATGCCATGGGAGCATTGGGCGGTCCCTCAATAACTTCCCGTGCCACAGTCAGGTGGCCGTGGTCCTGACCAATCAGCAGTTGCGGTCGTGAGCCTTTACACTTTGACAGGTCAATACCGTGCAAGTGGCCCCACTTGCTCTTGACCTTGTCCAGATCGACCGGTTGCGCTGCTAGAGTTAGGTCTTGCCTAGTCCGCACATTGGTGAGGACGAAAGATTCAGAGCTGCTAGTACGGATAGTGAGGTTGACTCTCTCACTCGCTTTGTCCTGCTGTGTGATGCCGTTGGTCCACTTCAGGGACAGAAGATCACTGGGCCCAGTAGCGCCTAGGCGTCGTGTCAGGTCTGCGTTGATCAATGTCACTGTGGACGCCTCGTCGAACAGTGCTGAGGTCTCAACTGTTCCACTGGGTCCGTCCAGTGTGACCGGCATGACACGGAGCAATACATGATTCCGTGTGGCCGTTGAGCTGACAGATTCCGCCGCATCGGTTGACTCTGTTGCATCGGTCGGCGCTTCGTCAGCGGATATATCATGGGTGGCATTCATCACGTCTGACCTGGGGGCGTGATGAAGCAGAGGGTGGTGTGGCTCCTGACAGCCATCTACCTCACACTTTTTGCTGCGAGAGCAGTCTTTCAGCACGTGGCCGCGGTTTAGGCAGGCATAGCAGAGGCGGTTCTCTCTACAGATCTTCCACAGCTGACGGATAGGCTTGCCACCAAACTCCAAGCACTTGCGGATGTCGTGCTCGCCTGTTCCACAGCCATCACAGGATTTCTTGACATCGCGTTTGCTTGACGGCTTGGCAACAGCTGGATCCCTGGTGATTGTGTAGTTCACCTCTGGACGACGACCTGTCTTGTCCGGCACTTGAGTTCCGGTACGTGGTGCGTACACATGTGCGGCAGCTTCTGCTATTTCCAATAACCATTTGGAAAATAGAGCGATACTGATGTCACCCGACGTTGACGACTGCATCACTTCCCCCCACTGCAGCCGCAGACTTGCGGGTAGCTTGGAGACAAGCTCCTGGCGGAGTTGCGGGTTATATAAGTGCCCGACACTGTTCAGCAGACTCATTGTGCCGACGAGTGTCTGGACGGACGTAGTGAAAGCCATTATGCCGTCAAAATCGTCACTTCTGATGGTGCTGAAGTTCCTGGCTCTCTGGATCAGGGCGCCGATCACAAGATCAGGCCTGCCGAAACGGTGTTCAAGAGTACGAAACACTTCGTTGATGTTGTCTGGTACTGCTTGCAGTCCAGACACAGCGTCCTTGGCCTTTCCCCGCAGACATTTCTGAAGGCGCACGAGATTACCGGCATTTGAGAACTCACACTCCGTTGTGGTGGCCTTGTAAAAGTGGCTGAACAAAGGCCACTCCTCTGGGGCTCTGGAAAAGAGTGGTAGATCCTTTGCCATCGTCTGCCGAGCCAGGAAGCAGTTGGTGGTCCTGAATTGTGGTTCCGGAGGTGCTGGTGGTGGAGGGGCACCTTCAGTTGGGTGGCCTGAGGAGGACCCTCACTCGATGTCTGGTGGAGCGCCTGCTCCGTCATGGCCAGCTCGGAATGCACGCGTTCCAGCTGCTGTTGCAGGAACAGTTCCCGGGGAGATGGTGTGTCACTGTGGGTCAGCACAGGTGTAGCCGGCGTCGCTACGAACGGGGCTGCTGTCGCATTTAGCTGGACTGTCCGCCCTGGCACTGGACCATTTCTTGCTGGTGGCACAAACTGCCCTGCAGCCGAGAAGGTCAGCTGGTATGTGACAGGGTGCTGGAATTGGCCTGCTGCCGGCGTTTGGCGCTGTGCAAACAGCTCGTGCGTAGACGACACACTATCTAAAGTTAGAACGGCGGGCTGAGCAGCATGTATACGTGCCGGACGCATGCAAAGTCGAAACGGGTAGACCGTGCTGCGCAAACAGCTCACGCTGAGGGGGCGCACTATGCTGTGGGTCAGATACGGGTCTAGTTTGTGTGTCAGGTGCACTTGGCTGCACAGCACTCTGGGTGTTAGGGAACGTCTGCAGCAACTTCATAACGCCATCGAGCATTGTCTTTTCCAAACCAAAAGTGAATTTATGTATTTCCGAAACACAAATTATATGAATGGAAAACATGGAAAACCTCCAGTCAAGTACGTACTACAAATTGCCAGTACAGAACTGTCTCTCGTACCGCCTACATATGCATGACAAAAAACAACTCGATCCTAACGTGACAAGCGAACAGCATGCACACATCAAATAAATGCACAACGTAGAAACAGAAATCTTCGAACAGAAACAATAGCAAAGTAACAGGAATGTAAGATTGTTCATCTACAGATATTCAAAGACTTTCACACTCAATAGTGGTTGCGCGACATCCTCCCCACCAAAGTCTCCTCAGGCGTAGCGAGCTGGAGGCCGAATTGTGCGCGTACGGGTCGATCTTGCAGGCGGAACCGCTGGCGCTGGCTCTGATGACTGTGGAGCCTCTGGCCGTGGTACCGTAACTGACGTGAGACCGGTGTCGGCAACTAGCATGGGCTCGTTCGCAGGCTGCTCCTCGACCACGTGCACCGGGTCACGATCGCCTGAGGCGACCAGCTCCAAAGGAACCAAGCGCCGAATCGGTCTCGGCACAGAAGAGCACTCTCCATTTTCCTTCATGACACAGACCTCAGCCACTCTGACTTGCCCGTCACGCCAAGGAAAGAGCTTGACGACTCTGCCCATCCGCCAGCGCTGGTGCTGCTTGTCAGCAATGATGAGGACGCCATCATCAACCACGATCGGCGACGAGCGCCCAGCATGGTACGCATTCAAGGTGACCAGATCCTCATCTTGCCACCGGCTCGTCAGGTGTCCCGTCAAAGCAGTGACGTACTTCTGACGCCGACCCAACTGCTCGGCCGTTACGTGCTGCTCGATGCCCTCGCCGCGCCGGGCCAGGGCTTCCCACACAGCATCGCGGGCGAGAGAGGCGGCTCGGAGTCCAAACCGCCAAGGTGTGTCCGTGGACGGTCCTTGACAGCAGCCTCGATCTCGCACAGCAGGGCGCGCAACTCGCACTCCTTCACCGACGCGTTGCCAAGCACTTTGACTAGCGGGCGCTTCACGGCGCCAACGAGCCGCTCTAAAAACCCGCCGAATCACGGTGTCGCTTGTGGGTTGAACAGCCACTCCACCGACAACGTCTTTGCCGCTGCTCGGAACGTTGTGCCATTGTCTGAACGGATGCGGGCCGGCTCTCCCCACCGTGCTCAGAACCGCCGGTACGCCAGGAGAAACTCTCTCTTCTCCAAGCTCCGCCAGGTCGATGTGGACAGCTCTGGTGGTGCCACACTCGAACAGCGCGATCCATGCCTTGCCGCCATCCTTGACATAGAGAGGGCCGGCATAATCCACTCCGCATAATCCAAAGGGACGCTGGTGCACCACGCGGTCTCGTGGTAGCGGTGCGGAAACTTCATCCGCTGCTCGCGCATCCTGCCGACGACAGATAACGCATTTGCTCTTCACGCTGCGCAACGCGCGTCGATCGCCAATGATCCAATACTGCTGCCGCGCGAGAGCTAGCACACTCTTGACACCCTGATGTAGCGACTTCAGGAGATGGCGCAACAACATCTCGGCGACGTGGTGTTTAGCGAGCAGGACCGAATGCTTAGCGCCGTACGTCAAGTCGCCTGACGCCAGCCGGCCGCCAACTCGCATCACGCCGTCGTCGTCGATGAGCGGCTGGTACTGGAAGAGCTTCGACTCCTTCAGCACCGGTTCCCCTGCCAACAGCCGTTTGACTTTCTCCGGGAAGAGCTCCAGCTGCACCTTCTGGAACACGAGTGCCCTGGTTCATCTCTCCAGATCTTGAGTCGACAACGGTGGGCGGCTCTGGGGACGCCAGCTCAGTAGACGCTTGGCGACTCCCAGCAAGCGTGGCCACCTCGATAAGCGTGACCACCAGAGCAGCTCGGGCTCCAAGCTGGCAGTGACGACATTCACCTTCGCTGGTAGCGACTCTTCTTCGGTGCACTATACTGTTCGTCACATTGGCCAGGCGACCTTCTCAGACAACCACTCGGGACCATGCTGCCAGCTCGATTGATGCAGCTCCTTCAGCGTTGCACCACAACTTGCCAGGTCGGCCGGGTTGTCGCTGCCTGGACAGTGATGCCACTCTATTCCGCGGCCGTTGAATACCTCCTGGATTTCGCTGACCCGGTTGGCGACGTACGTTTGCGAGAGATGGGGCTGGCCGGCGATCCACTGTAGCATCGTCATCGAATCCGACCAAGCGTGCGTCTCCTTGATAGGCAGGCGCACCTCTCCTGCGACGAACTGCAGCCAACGACTGCCGACAAATGCTGCCTGCAGCTCCATCAGTGCCAGGGTCTGCTGCTTCATCGGAGCGACCTTGGCCTTGCTGAAGATCAGCACTCTGACGCTGGGCCACGTGGCGTAGATACAGCAGCCAAACCCTCTCTCAGAGGCGTCGACAAACAGATGTATCACTGCTTCGGCGCTACAGCCGAGGTAGCGCGGCAGTGGCTGGTGCTGCAGAGCTGTCCTCTCTCCCCACCATCGCCGGATCAACACCTGCATGGCTGCAGGCACCTGGTCGTCCCACGCGACGGCCTCCTGCCATAGCTCCTTTAGGAACAGCTTTCCCTGCAGGACGTACGGCGACGCGAACCCGAGAGGGTTGTACAGGCTGACCCTGCAGTGCAGCAGCTGGCGCTTCGTTGTCGGATCGTCACAGTCTGGAGGCACCGGAATGCGCAGCGAATCCTCTTCGCCATTCCAGCAGAGACCGAGCACTTTGCCGCTCGACTGTACCTCGTCATTTCCAAGCGGAACATTGCGCTTCCACTTCCGCAAATCCATGCCCGTTGTCTCCAGGCACGCGGTCCCGATCTTCTTGAACTGGCTGCTTTGTCATTCGTTGGCACGCTGGCGATGCAGTCAATGACGTACAGACTGTCGCGCAACCGACGTGAGACGTCTGCCTCGGTCGGCGTGGCATGCTCCAGCGCGGACTCCAGGTGTGTCCGCAGCAATGCTGTGAGCAGAAACGGTGAAAAATTCACCCCGAACGGCATCCTCGCCAGTCGCCAGACCTGCATCTTGCCTGACGCATCGCTCCACAGGAATCAGAGATAGCGCCGGTCGGCCTCCTTTATACCGATCATAAAGAAGGCCTTCCTGATGTCGGCTTGCACGGCAACCGGCTGTTCCCGGAACCGAATCAGCAAGCCTGCCAAGCTCGGTCGTAACAACTGGCCCGGGTCCAGCAGAGCGTTCAACGACTCACAGCCGGCCTGTGACGCGGACGCATTGAAAACGACGAGCGTCTTCGTCGTCGTGGATTCGGCCTTGAATACTGCATGATGCGGCATGTAGTACACCGCCGTCGACCTGTCCGGCTCAAGCTCGATTGCGCCCAGCTCACCGTACTCGCGCAGAAGGACAACGTCATGCAGCACACGCCGGCCGTTGCGGTCGAGCCTTGCCATAAGTCGCGACGCCGTTGCCATGGCCTGCTCATAGTTGTCGACTGGACGCTCCGCCGACTTTCAGAGCAGGCCGACTTTGTAGTGCTGTTTCATTCCGTGCGATAGGATATGCTGGCAAAGGCACCGACTTGTAGGCTGCCTCCTCCATCTCCCACAGCATCTCCACGGCCGACGACTGCACCAGGCTGACCGAAATCGCGGGCCAACTCGCCGAGCCGCCGGGTGCGGGCGACTCGAGCTGGTGACCAGGGCCAGACAACACCCATCCCAGCTCCGATTTCCACACAAACTCTCCTTCAAACTGGCACTTCTGCGTAATGAGGCTGTTCGTTGCGTCGTCGCCCACCAGCAAGTGCGGCTCGATCGGCACCTGGTCGGTCTCCTGGTCGCTCAGCGTGACGCCACGACTCTGCCACCGCTGGACACACGTGCCGGGAATGGCTCGATATGCAAATCGAGGTCCGGCTTCTCGTACCCTCGGGCAACATGCGTCCTGCCGCCCAACCCAGTCACGCAGATTTGGTACAGCCCGAACTCGGCCTCGACTTCCGTGCCGTCGAACGACCGCACCGTCATCCGGTGGCAGCCCACCTTCGGCGGGCAGACAGCGCGGACCAGCGCCGATGACACTAAGGCCGTTTGGCTGCCGAGGTCGACGAAGACACGCACCTTCGCTCGCAGGGTTTCACCTTGCACCTCGCCCACAGCCGTCATCAGGCGCACCGGGGGCCGTTGGCTGTCCGTCTGGCAGCTGTACGACACGATACCGCAACCGCCCGGCTTGCCGCGCGCATGCAGCATCGGGTGATGCCGTCCGGGGCACTGGTCGCACTGCGGATTATCGCGACATTGCGCTACCATGTGACCCGTCTTCAGGCAGTTGAAGCAGAGCTTGGCTTGCATGGCGTGGGCTCGGCGGTCTGGAGGGGTCATGCTGCGGAGCCTCTTCACAGCGTCCTCCGTGCTGGCGCTGAAACACTGCGCGGTGCTAGACATTTCCGCACAGGTCCCCTTGGGCGGAACGCTGGGCTTGTCCGGTGTCGAGGTGGTGGCGAACGAGGACTGGTAGGTGGTGCCAATCTCCGCTAACATCTCCAGGGACCGGTCCTCCCCGCGAGTGCGCAAGATGAATGCACTCAGCGCCGGTGGCACCGCTTCAAGTACCAACTGCTGTACAAGCGCAGCCACCACCTCTTCCGGAGAAGACGGGTCCTCATTGGCTCGGCTGACCAACTTCAACCACCACTTCACCCATCTGGAGACACGCAGGCTGTACTGGCAGAACATCTCCAGGGGGCGCTGCTTGGAGCTCATCAGTTCTCTCCATGCGGTGGCTGGTGTGCGCCCAAACGCCAGGAGCAGTTCCGGCTTGATGTCGGCGAAACTGTCAAAGTCCTCCATACAGACGGATCCTGCCAGTTTGGTGTTGATCACCACCGCTCGCAGTCGCATCGGCCAGGTTTTTTCGGGCGCTCGGTTTTGAACCATGACTGCCTCAAACAGATCGAGATACGTTGCCACTTCGTGGCTATCTTCGAACTTTGGCACGGCCATCCTGGCTGCTCCTCCGAGCCTGTCGCCGTCGTCATCGAACCGAGACTCGCCGCCCCGCTCGCCTTTCAACGCGCGACGCTCGCACTCTTGCCCGATCCGCTCCTGTTCGGCGCTCTTCAATTCTAGCTCCTGAATCTGCATCTGGTGGCGTCGTTCCTGAACGCAAGCTTTGCGCTCCGCGCTCTGGGCCTCCTGACATTCCCATTGCTCCAGACGCCCTTCCACAAACGCCAGCAAATCGTCGCCCGATTTACCATAGACTTTGCCAATGGCGATAAAATCCTGCTCGCGGACCGCCACAGCAGACTGGACAACATCTAACTCTGCTGCGACTGGCTCCAATTTGGAGTTCACTCCGGAATCCCCCATTCCTGGCTGTATCCTGGCGTGGTTGCCAAATGTTTGGGAACGGCTGCAGCAACTTCACAACACCATCGAGCATTGTCTTTCCCAAACCAAAAGTGAATTTATTTATTTATTTCCGAAACGGGTAGACCGTGCTGCGCAAATAGCTCATGCTGAGGGGGCGCACTATGCTGTGGGTCAGACACGGGTCTAGTTTGTGTGTCAGGTGCACATGGCTGCGCAGCACTCTGGGTGTTTGGGAACGGCTGCAGCAACTTCACTACGCCATCGAGCATTGTCTTCCCCAAACCAAAAGTGAATTTATTTATTTCCGAAACACAAATTATATGAATGTAAAAACATGAAAAACCTCCAGTCAAGTACGCGCTGCTACTACGAATTGCCAGTACAGAACTGTTATATCATCCGTATCATGCCTGTCATGATTGTCTGAAGCTATTGTCTGTGTTGTGGTTGACTTAACTCTTTAGTACTATTGACTGGCCTTTCGTACAATACCTATTGATGTCTAGAGACATACTGTCCAGCCTTCCCCTCGTGCGCTTATTGATACACTATCCAGCTGTCCAGTGGCTCTCCTTCCACCGCTCTCCTTCCACCGCCCTTCCACTCTCCTTCCACCGCTCTCCTTCCACCGCTCTCCTTCCACCGCCCTTCCACTCTCCTTCCACCGCTCTCCTTCGACCGCCCTTCCACTCTCCTTCCACCGCTCTCCTTCCACCGCTCTCCTTCCACCGCTCTCCTTCCACCGCCCTTCCACTCTCCTTCCACCGCTCTCCTTCCACCGCTCTCCTTCCACCGCTCTCCTTCCACCGCCCTTCCACTCTCTCTGTCCAGTGGCTCTCCTTCCACCGCTCTCCTTCCACCGCTCTCCTTCCACCGCTCTCCTTCCACTGCCCTTCCACTCTCTCTGTCCAGTGGCTCTCCTTCCACCGCTCTCCTTCCACCGCTCCCCTTCCACCGCTCCCCTTCCACCGCACTTCCACTCTCTCTCTGTCCAGTGGCTCTCCTTCCACCGCTCTACTTCCACCGCTCTCCTTCCACCGCCCTTCCACTCTCTCTGTCCAGTGGCTCTCCTTCCACCGCTCTCCTTCCACCGCTCTCCTTCCACCGCCCTTCCACTCTCTCTGTCCAGTGGCTCTCCTTCCACCGCTCTCCTTCCACCGCTCTCTATCTGCTATACTCTTATTCACACTCTATAAGTCCGTGTCTTCTTTACAATAAAATCAGTTCAGAGAATGACGAGTTCAAGGTCACAACAAGAACAGTCTCTCGTACCGCGTACATCTGCATGACAAAAAACAACTCCAAAAGTAGTCGGAACACGAATCGCGGATTCGTGTCAGGACAGTCATAAATTTACCACACTGTACTGTCTGTACACAATGTACGTTGTGTCAACGTCATGCATGTGCAGATTCTGGTTACTTATCCTTCTCATACCGCGAATTCCGTCACTGAGTTCGACTTTCCTTGGAGAGCGAACACGAACGTGAATTTCGTCTTGCTAAACCCCATCATTTGCCTCTATGACAAACTTTGGCGTGCGATTTACTTTGGCCGGTTGGTACCAAGTGGCGAAATCAGCGAAATTAAATTGCCAGCGAAAATTAGTTGATTTTAATTCAGTAATCGGATTTTCTGGCCTTTTTGTAGTATTACATTGACCTGTCGAGCCAATGAAGACGGCCGGATGCATGGTTGCCTGTGGAGCACATTACATAACTTTACAGTCTCCTAAAATACGTATCCTGTCCGACGGCAAAAGAGGCTGCAGATGTAGTTTTTCTGCGCGTCGAAAGGGATGTCTGTCCTGACGTTTCCTGGGCCCAACGCTAACTCTGCCGATCACAGGCGTTCTGGAGTCGACGGGATGTCTGTCCTGATGTTTCCTTGGACCGGCGCTGACTCAAACGATCACGGGCTATCTGGACTCGACAGGATGTCTGTCCTGACGTTTCCTGGGACCGGCACAGACTCTGCCGATCACGGGCGTTCTGGAGTCGACGGGATCTCTCTTCCGACGTTTCCTGTGACCGGCGCTGGATCGCTCGTTCACGCTTATTTTGGAGACGACGGGATCTCTCGACGACGGGATCTTCTCTTCTTGTATGTTTTTGCTGACGCATCCTATCATCTATTCGGCAACTAACGTCCATTCTAAATTCATTTCCTCATCGTCTCCCTATTTCTTACCAAATCTCCCTCTACATCATGGAGTCGTATACAGAATACGACAAATATTGTGGCCAGCTGTTTGTACGGACGGTACCGGACAGATACGGGAGCCAGCAAATATTGTGGCCAGCTGTTATGTACAATCCTGTAGAGCCTTTGTAGTCACAGATACAGGACAGATACGGGACAGATAGGGGATAGCTCCAGGCGTGACACAAACACACAAACAAATGAACACACACACAAACAAACAAATACCAAATTAAAGCTGTGCGGACCCTGGCTAGCGCCAGACGTTACGGAAGTAACGTCTTCTGCATAGCTATGGGAATACTACAAAGCTCAACAAGAATTGAAACGTAGTGATCAATAGTAAATAGGTTCGATATCAAGAAAGGAATAGAGAGTGAGAGAGAGAGAGAGAGAGAGAGAGAGAAAGAGAGAGAGAGAGTGAGAGAGAGAGACATACTGACACTCACAAACAAGTACCCCTTGCTCACACAAATACGTCAACTACACAAACCTGCAGTTACATACATTTATGCAAAGTAAACGGCATGCTCTAATGCGCGCACACACGTGTGTACGCCTGCGTGTGTGTGCTCAACATTCGTGGACATGCACGAGCACACACACTCACACACAACATGTGCCATGCCATGTTCATTGGATTTTGCCTGTATTCACCTGATGATCAGGCATGAAAGTATACTAGTGAAAATTGTATTCTTGTGTCCAAGGAAATTGTTCATCAATTCCCAAAGAAATCTTAATTGATATTGATCCAGAACTCCCTATGCCATTGCCGGTGTTACCTTTACTCATTAGCTGTGTTTGTTTGTTCCTGTGTGTGTTTTTGCGCATGCATGGTTGTGTGCATGGTTGTGTATTTGTGTGTGTGTGTCTATGTGTGCATGTGTATG